TTTAAACTTTAACTTAACTTACGTCTCTCTCTCTCTACACACACACACACACACACACACACACACACACACACACACACACACACACACACACACACACACACACACACACACACACAGTTTTAAGACAACTTTTTTCCCTCTTAGGAAACAACCCTGGAGAGGATCTACTCAATACAAACTTCTAAGCGAATACAACCAATGAGGACTAAAGGAGTTCTGAGGAAATCTCAGCTAAGCTGAAAATGTGCTGTAAATCTCACATCTCTTCCCCTTGAGTCTCTCTGCCTTTGCCCTGTTTGGTGCTCGATCACTTACAGCACACACTGATCTTTGCATGCAAACAAGGCCGCTTTTGGTTTGCCGTACCTCACTCCCAGAAACTTGGGTTGTTCTCCAGGTGCTGAGGTCTCGGTCTCCATCTTCAAGCTATCGATGTGGGCAATGGAGATCACAGTAGCAGCAACATACCAGGGCAGGGCCATGAAGGAACATATAATCATCAGAACAGCCACCCAAAACAAATCCAGATGATAGCCAGCACCTTTCTGTGGAGGGAGACAAGCAAGAAACATTCTAGTATTCAGCTAATCATCAAACGTTTTAGAGCACCAGGACCTTCTCATAGTTCTAGACTGATCGTAATTGCACACAAATCATCTTGATCAGAAGTTAGCAGAGTATGACCGGATGACCTTCAGAGGCTGAATTATCAATGTACACAGGTATATATTACAGTGGTGGGTGACTTAACAAATAAAGGGGGTAGGCAGCCTTGTGAGGAAGAGATCAAAATTGCAGAAAGTCCACCAGTAATTAATTGATCACCATATATACAAAACATGCACTTATACTATATGCGGGGAGGGGAGTTCAAGCCCACCAACCAGCAAAATAATTCCATACAAAGGGTATTAGTCAAATCAAACTATGGGCTGAGAACAGCTACAGAAAGTAATACAACCCGGCAAAAATTAAAACTGGATGCACACTGAATCTTGGCAGGAATTTAAACTATCCAAACAATATTATGTTCAAGTACTAAAAATATATATATATTTCTGGGTATAATCTTGCAGGGTATTTCAACGCAGCTTTAGACTGTCTGTTTTTTCACTTGGTAATACGCCCTTTTAAAAAAAACCACCCCCAAACACACCATTGTATAGTGCTATTTTATAGTTAACTGTCCCCCTTACTTTATTAGCGATTGTGTTGACAAGGAAATCACATGCCCAAGACCCCTGCAAAATGATCTGTAATGACATTGTCCACTTTCCCATCCTCAGAAATTCTGCTCTTATCAATCACATGTCCAAGACCGCTACAAAATTGCAGCAGTGTCTTAGAAAACAGAATGGTCCATTTGCACCCCATGAGATTGTTATGGCAACAAGAGAACTTGGAAACTGCTGGGGCATGAAGCAACTACCTAAAAAGCAAGACGGTGGTTTATAAGGGAGAGTTAGCTGTTATCCTACAGACCCAGTTACAACAGGGCATTTCTCTAGACACAGCAGAAGGCCAAGAGTTGTATCCTGCTTGTGCATATGGGTCTAGTTCAGGGGTGGGCAAACTTTTTGGCCTGAGGGCCACATCGGGGTTCCAAAACTGTATGTAGGGCCGGGTAGGGAAGGCTGTGCCTCCCCAAACAGCCTGGCCCCCCGCCCCCTATCTGCCCTCTCCCACTTCCCGCCTGACTGCTACCCTCAGAACCCCTGAACCATCCAACCCCCCCGGCTCCTTGTCCCCTGACCACCCCCCTCCTGGGACCCCCCCATCCAACCTCCCCTGCTCCCTGTCCCCTGACTGCCCCAACCCCATCCACACCCCCGCCCCCTGACAGGCCCCACGGGACTCCCATGCCTATCCAACCCCCGCCACCCCAGTTCCCCCATCCCCTGACCGCCCCTCCCCCCCAGAACCTCCGCCCCATCCAACCGCCCCCTGCTCCCTGTCCCCCAACTGCCCCCCAGGACCTCCTGCCCCTTATCCAACCCCCCCGCTCCCCGCCTCCTTACCAGGCTGCTCAGAGCAGCAGGACTGGCAGCCGCGCCGCCCGGCCGGAGCCAGCCCCTCTGCCTGGCAGGAGCTCACAGCCCCACTGCCCAGAGCGCTGGCAGCGCGGTGAGCTGAGGTTGCGGGGGAGGAGGGACTGGGGACTAGCCTCCCTGGCCAGGAGCTCAAGGGCCGGGCAGGACGGTCCCACGGGCCGTAGTTTGCCTACCTCTGGTCTAGTCATGATCACAGAGAGCACATTTACAGGAAAGCCTCAGACACAACGTCAATTAGTGTGAAGGTGAATGCAAAGCTGAACAAATATCTGCAGGAATGAAGTGACTCATTATTTGGAAATCCGTCATAGAAACGAAGGCCCCAAATCATCCGCGGGCTGGATACATTACATGCATTTTCTCCTTCTTGGGCTCTTGTGTTCTGATTTACAAAGCATCCACAAATCCCATAGATAGTTATTCATAATACAAATTCCACACATCCATCCACATAATGGAAGCCCTTACTCCTTGCAAAGATCCTTTCACCTGATATTAACAACTATGACAGTGTCTTTTTCTGAAAAGTCACCCCCAGCTAGCTTAAGTGACACCCTGGACATCACAAAGCTTTAGAAACCCAGGGTACCCCTTAATAAAACCAGTCCACAGCTTAACATTAGTTTTAAGAACCTATTGTGAAATAAGTAAGAGCATAATGACTTACTAAAGTCTACCTGACAGCACACTTAAGCTAGAAGGGTTATCAAAGCCAAACAGTGCCAAAAGTCAATGTTTACCAACAGTTATCACACTGTGGTATCGAAGATCCTGTACTTAGAACAGGAAGCAAGTGCAGGATTTTAGTGACTACAGTGGGAAAATGCTGACTTCATAAATGGCCACCACGGTACTTTATTTTTATGAACCGCCTCCAGATTGTGTACTGTTGTTTGAGATTTTCAAAGCAATCTAGGGGATCATTAATTTTAAAGGGAGGATGGTGTCCAAATTCTCCAGGCTGCTTTAAAATCTCAATATGCAGTCTTCTAATAACTTGAAATTGCTTTGGAAATTGAAATTGAGAAAATTATTGGTATACATAAGAGCAAGCAGACTAAGAGGACAACAGAAAAAGCTCCAAATCACTGAACCATAAGGGGTGAGACAGGAAAGGAGAGAGCATTATTAAGAACGGGATCTACAAAATTTCATATTTTGAAGATTAGATGTTTTAAGATCTGTTAAATTTGAGTTTATTAGCAGTAACAGGTGAGTCAGACCTGCTGAGTGATGTTCTAGCAGGGAAAGGTACTTGGCAATACCTGAATACTGTCCATTGTTTTCCTACCACGTGTACCACTTTACCTTGGTTAACAGGCCAGCAAAATTCAGTCTGCTAGACAGTGATACGCTGCCAATAGTGTAACAAGGGACTCCCACGAAAACTGTCCCCACTTTAGCCTGCCAGTAGATTTTATGTACCAGGGCCATGTTTGCTGCTGATGAGCAGAGAGAGACTACAAATCCATTCATTTCTCTCTCCCTCTCCCTCCCACCCACCATTTAAACAAAACATGTTCTCATAACCATAACAAAGGAAGCAGGAAACAAATTTTTACATTAAACAGCACTTTGGTCAAAAGTTTATACTTTGTTACTGGAAAAAATATACAGTGTGTTGCTAGAAAAGTAGCGTTCAGTTTGTATTAAACTGAACTCAAGTTGGCATGGAGGTGTCGACTTTGCAGAGAGGGATGGTAGGAATTCTTCCCCGGCAGTTTTTTTTTTTTAAATACCTGCCTATTAGATTCAATCTACTCAAAAGCAAGAGCAAATTTATCTCTTCAGAGACACTTTAATGAGCCCAGGGATGTCTCTCCAGCAGTAGCCAGAATAACAGCGTCTCTGTCAGAGGCAGGGAGATTACCCCAACTTTCCCTTCAATTTGGTGGGAGAATTTTAATGAGCTCCGAGGAGAGAGAGACCCCCACTCACCCACAGCATATCACTGCTAGTCATCATTTAAGTGGTAAACAACAACTTCACCGGGAAATGTACAGGAAACCAAAGAGCCTGAATGACCAATACTGCTGAGACATTAGTCCTGAGGAGGAGATGGACGCCACCAATAAAAGGATGCCGTTTTCAGTCATCCACTGCCTCCCTGAGGCTTACTCCTAATGGAGATAAAATGGCTACATTTGTGAAGCAGCATAAATGCTGGGTTGGCGAGAAGAGACACTGTCTGAAATGGAGGCTATAGAAAGGAAGTTCACAATCGTGGGTGAGGAAATAACCCCCTGCAAAATGCATACGGACGCTGATTCTACCTTTTGGTGGATCTTCTAGAAAACTGTTTGTACAGTTCCTGGCTGTACCTAGCCTCCATACTCACTTTCTTTTTATGGTGTTCTTCTAATTAAGGTTAAAGAAAGGCTTTAACCTTTAGGAAGCTGTGTGAAGAATAATAATACATGGATGGCCTGGAATAAGATGAACTAGGACTGATGTTCACCTTGCTAAAGAAATAAGGAGTCCAGAAGTATATTTTATGCCAATCTCAGCAGTCAGCCAGCATTTCTTGATCCCGATCCCAATCAAAGGCAATCTTTTAATAAAAAACAAAACAAAAACAACAAAAAACATCTTTCCCTTTCCCCTATTATTCTAACCCACTCTTTGAGGTCAATTTCAGGTTGATCTTAAATCTTCATGTGTTGTGAAATAATGCCAATCGTTACCATATCATGGTAATTATATTATTTATTAGGTTCACACCTAAATAATGACCCCAATATAACCCTCATTATGCATCAGTCTTTATTCCTACATTCCAGCCCTTTTAAAATGCCTCCCGTCCTGCAGAAGGGAGAGTCCTTTTTACAGGAACTCAGTATTATTCAATGGAATTCATCCTGCAGGGCAGGCAAAACTCTATAGGGTATGAGAAACTGTAAAGGTCCAGTTTAGAGCGTTTCTTTAAAAAATATCATTACATACCATATTGTGACTATATTAGTGACTACAAAGTTCTTTAAAGAACATTCATAAATGGGCAATTGAGGCTACTTTCCTTATTGATTCTAATTAAAGTCTCTTCACTTTCTTTCCTTGTAGTCTACTGTGCAGTTAAACAAAACAAAACAAAAAATCAACTGTCACACTGGGGTCTGCCTGTTGGCATTTCCAGTCTAGAGTGGATTTACCCCACTATCTCATCACCCCAAAGTCTCCGAGGCCTAGATTCTGAATATCAGACAGTCAGACCAACATGCTGAGTTCACTCAGGTGTAATGGTTATACAAACAAACCTTGTTTTGCATATTGCTTAAAGCTATCGATCAGTGATTTCCTTGCACGATAACCATGCTATTAAATATATATTAATAGGGGCTTGTCAAATCTACAGAAACTTTGCTCATTTTGATAAGGCAAGAGAAACCCTGACCCTTATGCTGTAATAAAAACAAAACAGTCAAAGCAAAAATCAGCTCCAATCTAAGGTTCCAGCTTTAAGGATCCTTTTACTTGAGAGAAAGGCAGGCTTTAGAATGAACAAAAACCCCTATGCATGAGCCTACCAGCAAGCATAAGGTCAGGTGGTATCCTCAGCTCTATCCACTGGATTCTAGTTACTGCCCAGTTAATTCACATCATCTTCCCATCTGAAATGGTCAGACGGGGGATGTCAGCGACAATAATTAGAGCTGTACAAGGGTATTCGTACTGAATCTCGGACCCACCCATACGGAGCCGGTGTTCAGGGTTCAAGGTGCTCCTCCAGCATGGTGGCAAGAGGCTTACACAACAGAAAAGTCTGCACACCCTGCTCTGTCTCACTATTATACATGTTTCTAATGTGCCATAGGACCCTCCCTCAGCTGGCTTCCCTCTCAACGAGCCCCAGAACCCTCTGACTCCCTATCGCCATCACCTGGTGGGCCCAGTGCCTCTCTCTGATGGGTCACCCTATGGCCACTCCCTGATCTTGTAAGTACAGGGGGTGACAGAGGCCCACAGGGCAGAGCCAGTGTCCTGTCATCCCTTCGAACTCTAGGATTTACTGAGTTTTGTAGCGTAGAGGTCAGGATTTGGCATGACAACTAACCCCTGCCCTCTACCCATCACACACACGTAGGGCCATGGGTCCCTTCTTCCAGTGGCTGCTCCCCAAGAAAAGCAGCAGCCACCGAGAAGACTTAGTGTGGAAACTCAGGGACCCTAAGTCATTGCTTTGTTGACACACATTAGGCAGGGAAGTCCCAGTGACTAAGGAAGTCTCAGGCCTGGTCTACACTGGGAGGGCGGGGGGGGGAAATCGGCCTAAGATACGCAACTTCAGCTACGAGAATAGCGTATCTTACGTATCTTAGGTCGACTTACCTCGCGTCCTCACGGCGCAGGGTCAACTGCCGCTGCTCCCCCGTCGACTCCGCTTCCGCCTCGGTGAAGTACAGGAGTAGCCAGCAGAGCGATCAGGGATCGATTTATCGTGTCTACACTAGACACGATAAATCGATCTCCGATAGATGGATCACTACCCACCGATCCGGCAGGTAGTGTAGACGTACCCTTAGGGGGCAATGTAGCTCTCTAGGCTTAATGTAACAGCCACTCTGGTGGGGCAGGACTCTCTTCCTTTCCCCCTGCCCTGTGGGACAACAGGGTCAGATTATTTTTTGACCCCTTCCTCACATGACTCTGGGAATCTGGGGGGTAGGGGGGAGAGCCCTTAAGATACAAGATGGGCGGTGCAACCCCCCAGTATCCCTTGAAGACACACGAAGAAAGCCAGCCACCACCACAAAGCAGCTTCTTCCTCTTGAAGACAGCAACAGTCAATAGCTTCTCTGGGGAGGGAAAGTTGTCAATCAGTGGCAGCCAGAGAAAGGGCTGAGCTAGTGACTAGTTTGATTAGCTTCCCAGCCATGAGGTGAGCAGCCAAGTCCGACCCCTGTGACGCAAACAGCAGTTTAGAAACACCCCCACGGACCACACCCCACAGGTTTCACGAATCTCTCATGCAGGGATCAGCGTGGGGCTGGCATTGATTCACTATCTGTATTTCTTGCTGGAAAAAAATAAAAAGGAAAGTGAACTGGAAACCCAGGAAGGCAGCAGTGCAGCCACGCTGGCAGAAATCCTATCCTCCAAGGTGCCTTTTGATGTCACAGTCGGGAATGCTTCAGAGGGATGAATGGCAGGTACTGGCAACACTGGTTCAACCATGTTGTAGTCAGCCAACCCTCAGCCCGGGCATCTTTGAGTCTCTTGCCCTCACTCCTGAGCAATCTTATTGTTCCTGGCAGGAGCCCAGCTCACTCCCAGGACCCTTTCAGAGCCCAATTTACAATCCCCTTGTCCCTAGCCCCTGGCGGTGCTTCCCAGTACCCACCGCAGGGCACTGGCTGGATGCAGCCCTCCAGAGCCTTTGTTCATACTGAGCTTGAGTGTCTGTCTGCCTCAAAGAGGGGGCTTGAAGGACCAGATTAACAGCTGCCTCAGGCTGAGCTGCCTTGTTACTGGAGCTCGCTAACAGACCCTGGCAGCTACGCCATTCCAAGGAAAACACCCCCATCTCTGCTGCCACTCGCACCCTTTTAAGCCCCACTTCTTCAGATGGAGCTGGTTCTGCCAATGTGGCTAACTGGCACTGCATAACTGCAGGAATGCACATTAGCCTTTCCACCAGAGGGATGGTGTGGGTCTCATCACATACGTCTCAAAGGCTAAGTGGACACCATACTTCTATCCTGCATATTCACATCAAATGAGATAAGGTCATGGAAGATAGATCCATCAATGGCTATTAGTCAAGATAGTCCATGACACAAAACCGTACTCCGGGTGTTCCTAAACCTCCCGTTGGCAGAAGCTGGGACTGGACAACAGAGGATGGCTCACTCAAAAGTGTCCTGATCTGTCCCTTCTATCTGAAGCATCTGGCACTGGCCACTGCCAGAGACAGGACACTGGGCTAGCTAGACCACTGGTCTGACCCAGCATGGCTGTTCTTATGTTCTTAAGCATTTTCTTTTCCTTCTTCAGCATATGGGTTCTGGAAAATCTCACAATTCTAACCGGCTTCCTGGAAAATCAGGGAGCGGCAAGTGAAAAAGGAGCAGCAGCAGCACCCCTGCTCCAGTACCTCCTGGTGTGACGCACAGATTTGAGTACCCTTCCTCCCCCTTTTCTTCACATCACAGAGTCCTGCACAACTATCAAGGCCAATTTATTCTGTCCTCAGACTGAAAAAATCTTTCCGTGATAAAAGGCCTTTTTTGACCCTTCACTGGACAAGGAATTGAAAACTCAGCTGAGACCAGCTCTGTTAGAAATTACTGCTATTCCCCCAAGCGCCTGGCTGAGCTCCAAGCCAGTAGGGGCTGGGGATTTGAGGACGTTCAGCTGTGGGTGGGAGGAAATGCTTTTTACTACCTCTTGCCAACTCAGGGACCAGGGCGGATGGATTCTGGAATGAGCTTTGTTTACCCTCCCTCTGCCACAGGAACTGTCTACCATAGACATCTAGTACTGCTGAGAGCACTACTGCAGACAGAGAGGCCAGTTTCAAGCAGTCAGTGCCCCCCTTTTGTTAGTTAAAGATGAATTCAGAAAAGATCTCACCTTATGTATCTGCCCCGTTCACCTGCACCTCACTTGCTGACCCAGGGGACAGCAAACAGCAGGTAGAAACGATGAGCCATCTCCCCCAAAACTCTGACCACTAAATCCAAGGAGAAACACCTTTGCAACAGGGATGACCAGCTTCCTGTGCTCTGCTGTTGTGCTCTATCTGCAGGACACACCAGTGTGCCCAACTTAAGTTAAGAAGGGCATCCATGCTGGGAAAACCATTTTTCTTCTCACTATTGTTCTCCTAAGTCCCCCTCTGTGTTGCTTTGTCATCTTTTCCTTTCGTGCCATGGCAGTGGTGGTGAAAACCAATGAGACAGCACTAGAAGCAGAAGCCACAGGTGAGAATTTTTGGAATAACTGATTCACATGTGAAATCTAATAGCCTTTTTTCCCATTACTTGGGAGTTTGTTTGGTTAACAGTCCACTTCCTGCAGGGAGAGGGTCAAGGTATCTCAAGCTTTACTCAGAGCTGTTTTAAGATGTACCGTGTGCACACTTGGGGAATCAAAGGTGGGTGTAAGCAGAAGTATCTGCTCACAGCATAAGGCTGCTCTAATTTGCAGCGATTAGAGCGGCTCCCTAGGGACCTCTTTGCAAGCCAAGCAGCAGCAGGAGTGCTGTGTGGATAAGCCTGACAAGGCCCTTACTCCAATGGCGGAAGGAGTATGTGGCTAGCAATGATCATGCTGGTGTTATGCCCTACAAGGGATTCCCTGCACTGGGGCCTTTGGTGACGGTCAAGGATCTGGACCTCGGGGTTTATTCCGTCCTCACTCAGAAAGAACGCCTACTGAAGTCAAAAGGAGTTGTGACAGAGTAAAAACATCAGAATCTGGCCCACCGTCTGTGTCCTTTGCTTTAACAACAAGCGTTGTTCGAGAAATACGGTCGCTTTCAAGCTGAAGTGATGACTTTGCTTTCAAATCTGGAAGAATAATCTGTGCTAGAACAAAATACATGCTATTACTAAATACCAATCATAGTATTTCAAAGGGAGCAGGTGCCCATTACCACCACAGGCTCTCTCTCCGGCTCTGTCACAGAGAGGATAGGCGCTACTTTGCTGCACTCATGCAAGGTACAAGGCACCCACCTTGAGCTTGTGCTCTTTCCTGTTGACGATGACGGCTGTGATTTGCTGGTCCATGAAGATGAGAATGGTCACCAGCAGTGCAGGGATGGCTGCTGCAAGGTACACCCACCAGGGGTTCCCTCCGAAGGGTGGGACGAACCAGCCTCTGTGGGGGCTGGTTGGCTTCAGGCGCAAAGAGAGGAAAACAGGCATCAGAGTGGCGACATGTTAACGACCTCCCCCCCAACCAAAGCATGTTTATCCAGGCAGCAAAAGGACCCAAACACTAATACGTCAAGCTGACTAAAGGAAGATTCCTGAGGACACTGACAATTTGGGATTAATTCTTCCCATATACCAACGTCAGCTGAAGTTTAAAACCTGGAAGTGGTTATTAGGGGTCAGATTCTGCCATCCTTGTTCATGATGAGTAGCAGCACTCTCTTCAAGTAGTCCTGCTGGTCTCTCTCTCTCGAGCACATTCAAGCAGTGAAACTACATGGGCGAGTGAAGGCTCACCGGTGTGAGTAAGCAGGGCCGGCTTTAGCAGGTGCAGGGCCCCACACCAGGGACGCCAATTGTCTTGTGCCCCCTCCCTGCCCCATTGGATCCCTCCCCAAATTCCTGCCTTGCCCCCCCAGCCCCACCCACTCCCTGCCCCCATTGGATCCCTCCCCAAATCCCCGCCTTGCCTCCCGCAGCCCCACCCACTCCCTG